CACCAGAGTGGGAAGTATACTTTCGGATGATGTTGGGGGGGAGGGCTTCAGGCAGGAGGACGAGTCGGGTAGGTTGTTTCACGACATGCTTTTGGAGACGGGCACGGCCGCTGTGAATACCCTCGTCCCGCCCCTGAGTAAGGACTCGTACACGTATGTCGCACCTAAGTCAGAGATCCCCCACTGAATAGACTACATCTCGGTTGAGCAATTAATTAATCCCGCCACTGGACAGGTGCAGGTTAAGTATAAAATTGACTCCATCTGCACTGGCAAAGATCACTACCCCGTGCTTGCTCGCTTTGAGCCCTGCGGTGGGGTTTGGTGTGTCGGGTATCCACGACCCCATCAAGGCGGCCATGTATCGCGAACATATGGCGGCTTCCCTTTTGGTACCACATCCGGTAAACATGAACCAGCACCTGCATACTATGAACCAGTACATGAATAACGGCACAAGACGCTGTTTTCCCGAACCCCCATATGCCCTGATCAAGCCGTACGTTTCAGAGGAGCGTTGTGGTCTTATTGCGCTTAGGAAGCAAGTTCGACAAGCTTGGTCTCTTTGGGGCGAGCAGGATTCGAGTGGTCTCAGGAGGTTGGTCGCGGCTTCGCTTGAAGCTCGGGGGCCCCAGAGCGTCATGGACCTGAAGCTAGAGTTTTCGGTTTCTGAGCTTTTCCAGGCACTCGAGTCTTGGGGCACACAGAGGATGGCATGGCAGCGGTTCTTGCCCAGCCTCAGCCAGCCCTCAGACGCGCCCTGAAGAGATCCAGGGAAAAAGCTGCTGGACGACTCAGCCCAACAGGTGCCCCCCACGAGGGCCGTGACGAGCGGAGGGCTCTTTATCAGCTGCAAAGGTTCGGGGGAGAAGGTCCAAGTTCCGGGTGGAGGGGTTTCGAATTCGCCGTGGCGCCCAGGGCGAAGTTCTGGCTACCTCTAGTGACCTTGCTGAGGCTGTAACCGACTACTCTGCGGCGATCGAGAATGACCAGGCTTTGAGCTGGGATGACCTGGCTGCTAGATACAATTCCTTGCCTGAACGTGGAAACGTCTACTTCAAGAAGTTGGATATGGCCACTCCCTTTCGGAGGCTGCAGCATGACATCACGAGAGCCGCCAAGAGGAGAGGAGCAGGTCCTGATCGTCTTGGCAATAACTTGTTCCAGGACGCAACGTATGAGCGCAAACTAGTCTTGCACCGGCTCTTCGTCAAGATTGATCTTGCCTCCACGGAGCCCCTACTGTTCAAGGGAGGACGGCAATGCGACTTACATAAGTCAGGACCTCCAGAGCCCCTGGATCACTACAGAGGTATTTTACTAGATTGACATGTGATTGCCATATTGCGAAGTTGCACCACGCCTTCCTTCGGAGTAAGTTGCGAGGCATTATTACACATGCTCCTGGAGATCCAGCAAAGCGGGCTTCCAGAGAGAGGCGGCACCGACATAGCATCCTTGCACTTGCGTTCTGCCATGATGGCGGTGCGAGCTCGGAAATGCACGTACCTGTCACTGTTCACAGATCTACGGCCGCCTTTGATTCGGTCATCAAGGGGTTCGTGTCGAGAATGGCTCAGAGCAGTGAGGATAATCCAGAGCACGTTGGCGGATCTCGAAATGCCCGAATGCCCGAATGCCTCGAGCCCCTATGTCATGCTCTCGTCGCCAAGCCGGGTGCCTTGCACGCGCTCGAAAAAACATCTCTTGGAGGCAGTCGTGGACGTTATGGAGTGCAACTGGTTCCAGGTTCGTGGCAGTGCTAGAGTTGTCTCGTCTAGGATAGGGATACGCCGACACCATCATCTGTGCTATCAACTGACGGATGGGTGTCTCGGGATATCTCCACAAGTCTAAGAATGTACCTCCGTCTCGGAGGATCTTTCGATAACGCGACCACCAGCACGAGATAGAGGATGCCTGGGACCATACTTTCGTGGATGAGCTTGCTAATGGTGTGAAGCTATGTGATGCTAGATCTTGGAAGGAGGCTGCCATTATCATGGTTCAGACTATATATGAGGAAATTAGGTCTCGTGGGTTTCTTCTGAACTGGAAGCCTGAAGAGACTGGGCTCATGATCTTCTTCAGTGGCACAGGCAGGAAGGCTCGAGGGGAGTGCGCAGCATGGGCTGCCATTGGCCTCTTCGTGCCATCCTGAGGCGTGTCCTCGTGTCTCGCTAGGACCTACAAACACCTGGGAAGCTACCAGGACCATCAGATCTCTATGGGACCCGGGATCGCACATCGATGCCATCAGCAGCGACATCCCCCGGGAGTTCTGAAGCGCACGGTTTTCCCTAGGAAGCAGGTTAACCTTAAAGAGAAATGAATACATGTAATTTCTCGTTGCTCGTCGCACGTGTCATTCAATGCGGTGACGCGGTCAAGTCGAAATGCCAAGCAGCAGGCAGCCTTTCGCGCACGACTACTTGAGCCCCTTTCGTTCTGCGGCGGGGTTCGGATATGATTCTGCGTCAGGCAAAGCTGCTGCGGACCATAGGGTGCTCACCACGTGCAACTTGCTGCCAGTTGAGTTGGTGCTAAGGCTCAGGAGATTGCGTTTATTGCCCAGGCTCCTGAGAACGGCACCGATGTGCCTGCTGGACTTGCTTGACGAGCTCCGCCCCCACCAAGACTCCTGGACCGCCCTATGTTGCGAGGATCTGGTGTGGCTGAGTTTGCATGTGAATCTAGCCAAGGAATACATTCCCTCAGGACCGCCAGCCTGGTGGATATGGTTACTGAGGGCCAACAGTAGGAAGTTCTGGAAGAGACTGTGCAGACAGGCTGAAGATGCTGACAGGGCGAAATTCTTGGACGACCAGCGTCACGACGAATTAAGAGAGAGTGGTCGCGGCGGTCCAGCGCCTCTCAGGGCCTTGCTCCTCCTGTGCTCCGTTGGCAGCCGTCGGCGCTGGCGTTGTGTCCTTGCCGTGACTGTGGGATGGTGCCGGCAACTAAGGGCGCATAGGCTTCCCATCGCTCCAAGTGCCACCCCCACGTGGACCCCGTCCCGAGGTATGTGCCCGGCGGCGCTGTATGTACAGCGTGTGGCATGAACTTCCACACAAACAGGTAAGATTGCTCAAGCACGTTCGGCACGGCTCGTCGAGATGCATGGCCGACAAAATGGGCGTCATTCCCCCGATGAGCGCCGAACACGTCACGGAACTGAAGTCGGAGGATGCTGAGCTTGTCCGTACCCTGCGCAGCAAAGGCCACTACGCAGAGTCAGCTCAGCGCCCTCCTGGTCTCACCGCGGGGCCCTGGCTGAGAGGCGCAGCCGCCTCCCAAGGGACTCCCGACGATAGTGGCTAAAGTGAGGAGGAGGAGGAGGCGGAGGAAGAGGAGGAGGAGGAGGATAGAGGAGGAGGAGGAGGAGGAGGAGGAGGAGGAGGAGGAGGAGGAGGAGGAGGATATAGAGGAGGAGGAGGAGGAGGAGGAGGAGGAGGAGCAGGAGGAGAAGGAGGAGAGGAGAAGGAGGAGGACGAGGAGAAGGAGGACAGAGGAGGAGGATGGAGGAGGAGGAGAAGGAGGAGGAGGAGGAGGAGGAGGGGGAGGAGGGGGATAGAGGAGGGGGAGGAGGAGTGGGGGATAGAGGAGGAAGAGGAGGAGGAGGAGGAGGAGGAGGAGGAGGAGGAGGGACGAGATGCCCACCCACGCTCTGGCCACCCTCCCCCAGCTCCCTGGCACTCAGTCTATAGTGACGCCCCCAGGGGTACCGGCGACGTCCAGGCCTGTCTGGAGAATTCTAGTGCCATAGCGGGAAGATGTGCCTTGGTGCTTTTCAGAAGGATCCCGAGGGTCTGATAGGGTTGTGGGGCTTCTAGCGGACCCTCCCCACACCTCGTGGGACCCCAACCCTGTTGCAAAGCCAAGGGGGGGAGAGCAGGCCTTTGAGGAGCTGCGATGAACCTTGGGGTTTCTCTGCCAGGTCGCCCTCCGAATGGAAGCAGCTAGAGCTCGACAGCGCGTGTCTCCGTGCGGCGTTGACGCTTGTGTGGTACTTGGCCTCCTCGGGACTGGCGACCCTGATCACGTTGAGACCCCATGCTCAGAGTGCCCATCAGCCCTACGTGTGTGGAAAGTCCCCGAGGTAAGGTTTGTGTGTTCCCTCTCGGCCATGTCTCCGGTGCTAGCGTCGAGTTGTGCGCCAATCGGGGCCCGTCAGTGCCTTTCTTTGAAAACTGACCCTGCAATTGCCCCTCCTGGTAGCAGCCAGGCCAACTACTACCTCGCTGCTGTGATCGCCTCAGCTGCCTCTTCGCGCTGTGCCCCCATGCCGACTCTTGGGGATGCATGGCTCGAGACAGAGATTGTACATCTCTAATCCCATCTCGATAATCATTGTGAGTTGGGCTGATGTTGGCCATCGCTGCTGGTCTTCTCATGTCTCTGCCTTGCCGGCTCCCCTACCGCTGACGCCTGCACGCGTGGACACCTCAGACCCTCGTCCCCAGGGCTGCAGGAAGAAGACGGAGGAGGAGCGCCAGAGGAGGAGGGCGAGGGGAAGGCGGAGGGGAGAAAAACGTCCCCTGAAGACGTCCGAGAACCTCCGACGAAACCTCCCCAGACATCCGACGTCCTGATTCTTTCAACGAAGGGGTCCTTGGAAGTCCCGACCCGTTCCCCAGGACCGGCTCTTCGCCCTGAGTCGCTTCCTGACAGCCCCGAGGCCCGGCGAGGGCCCCCCGAGGCCGAAAAGGGCCACAAACCTCCCGTCCTGATCTTTTACGCCGCGATCATGTCGATGCATCGCCGATGGATCGGCGACATAGGGCATTCGAAGGCGATTTTCGGGGGGCCGACGCGTCCCCGCCCCCCCCCCCCGAGCCTCCGACGCCACTGCTGCCCCCTTTCTTGGGCGGCGACCTCCCAGCCCTGCCCCCACCAGCCCTCCTCCTCCTCCTGCTCCTCCTCCTCCTCCCTCCTCCTCCTCCTCCTGCTCCTCCTCCTCCTCCTCCTGCTCCTCTGGGTCTGCCACCGCCCACCCGAGCTGAACGAGGCACGCCGACAGGCCGCCATCCGCGGCCCCGCGCCGCCGCCGGGAGCCGCTCCGCCCGGCCGCGCGCGCGCCCCGGGCTCTGCGCGGCGCGCAGCGGCCGCTGGAGTTAGGTCGGGCATGCCCCCCCTATAGGGATTTTGGACGAAAACCAAAAAATCGAAGAATACCCGAAGATAGTCAAAACTGGTCAAAAAAAAACTCGTCCCCAGACTGTGTTTTGACTATTTCTGAATATTCCTCCTGTAGGGGGGACGTGCCCGACTTACGCGCAGCGGCCGCTGGAGGGCTGGCTCGGCTCCGAGAGGCTGCGGACGGCGCAAGCGCCCCACGCCCCCAGGCGGGCGGGCCGGCTCCACCGCGGCGCTCCGCCTCGGTCTCGGGCCCAGGGGGCCGTTTTTGCTTGGGGGTCCTGCTCCTCCTCCTCCTCCTCCTCCTCCTCCTCCTCCTCCTCCTCCTCCTCCTCCTCCTCCTCCTCCTCTCCTCTCCTCCTCTCCTCCTCCTCCTCATCCTCCCTCCTCTCCTCCTCCTCCCCTCCTCTCCTCCCTCCTCCCTCCTCCTCCTCCTCCTCCTCCCTCCTCCTCCTCTCCTCCTCCTCCTCCTCCTCCTCCCTCCTCCTCCTCCTCCTCCTCCTCCTCCTCCTCCTCCTCCTCCTCCTCCTCCTCCTCCTCCTCCTCCTCCACCCTCCTCCTCCCTCCTCCTCCCTCCCTCCTCCCATCCTCCTCCCCCTTCCTCCTCCCTCCTCCTCCCTCCTCCTCCCTCCTCCTCCTCTTCCTCCTCCTCCTCCTCCTCCTCCTCCTCCTCCTCCTCCTCCTCTTCCTCCTCCTCCTCCTCCTCTCCTCCCTCCTCCTCCTCCTCCTCCTCTTCCTCCTCCTCCTCCTCCTCCTCCTCCTCCTCCTCCTCCTCTCCTCCTCCTCCTCCTCCTCCTCACTCCTGCTCCTCCTCCTCCTCCTCCTCCTCCTCCTCCTCCTCCTCCTCCTCCTCCTCCTCCTCCTCCTCCTCCTCCTCCTCCTCCTCCTCTCTCCCATCCTCATCCTCCTCCTCCTCCTCCTCCTCCTCTCCTCCTCCTCCTCCTCCTCCTCCTCCTCCTCCTCCTCCTCCTCCCCCCCATTCCTCTTCCTTTATAGGTAACTTCTCCGTGTCGCACCCCAAGGCAAGTTTTTACGGCGGGTCAGGCGTTTCGCATGAGAACTCCTCACCACTTATGACTCTAAAGCTTTAAAAAATTGCCAAAAGCCTCACAGATGGAGGGCGAGGGGTTTCAAAATGTGGCTCTCGCAATAGCGCCGCGCACATTCGTTTTCAAAATGTGCAAGGGTTTCACGGATTTGGGGCGTGTGGTTTACAAAATGTGTCTCTCGCCTTAGCGCCGCGCACATCAGTTTTCAATATGTGCAAGAGCTTCACCGATTGAAGGCAGGTGGTTTTCAAAATGCGGTTCTCGCCTTAGCGCCGCGCACATTCGATTTAAAAGATTAAAAGAGCTTCACGGATTGAGGGCGGGTCGTTCTCAAAATGTGGCTCTCGCCTTAGCGCTGCTGCCAGAGTTTCACGGATGGAAGACGGGCCGTCTTCAAAATGTGGTTCTCGCCTTAGCGCTGCGCACATTCGTTTCAAACATTCGCAAGAACTCCACGGATTCCCATGATCGAACTACCAGAAAATGCACCTTGGAAGGATTCAGGATTATGCGGGTGCAACAATTATGTTGGTTCGCAGTGTTTAAATCCAAAAAATGGCGTTCTGGCACGATTCCGGATCGTCAAGACGCAGCAGTCAGGTTGATGCGTGGCGTTGAAATCCCGAGCACAATGTTTTGGCATGCTTCAGGAGCTTCAAACCGTTGTCTTCCAACGAGGCAGTTCCCTCACTCAATGGAAATGAACCGTTGTAGGGGCCTATGAAGAGGGTCCACCTCCTCCTCCTCCTCCTCCTTCTCCTCCTCCTCCTGGTCCACTGGTCCACCTCCTCCTCCTCCTTCTCCTCCTTCTCCTCGTCCTCCTCCTCCTCCTGCGGCGCTCCGCCTCGATCTCGGGCTCGGAGGGCCGTTTTTGCCTGGGGATCCTGGAGCGGTGCAGCGGCAGGCCGTGCAGTGACCTCGGGGCCCCCAAAGGCCTCACTGCACGGCCCGTCGCCGACCTGGATCCCCCCTGGCTCACCACACGGTGCGGTCACCGCACCAGTTTTGAAGGCCCCCGATGTTCGGGAGCGGCAAAGAGGGGGGCGTCCAAGAGGGGGGGGCGCAAATCATGACCGGCGGCATGTGCGCGGCCCAGCGGGGGGGCCAGGGACGTATTGAAACAAGAAGAGGCGCCATGAAATCTGGGGAGATATCATGGCCCGCGCCATGATATCCACCCCCCCCTAGTCGTCATCACCCCCGTCTTTTCCGCCCCCGAGATGTTCGGCCCCCGGGGCGATGGAAGACGGACCCGGGACAAGTCCCGCCGGCCCTCTGGGCGCAGATAGTTTAGAGCGCTTCTATTTACAACCCTCTTCTTCCCCTTCGGGGAGGGTCCATCACTGCTCCTTCTCATTACACACCCCTCCCTCGCCCGACTGGCGACAAGCCCTGGCCAATGCCAACAATCACCCCCCCCCACCATCCTTTGCAAAAAAGATACCAAGTACACTTGGCACCAAAATCTGGATCATGCGCGGACGCCTCACGATCACTTTACACTGATCTGTTCGGCTACACGCAAGAGTTACCCTGGGCAAGAGTGACCTTTAGTGCGCGGACCTAGGGGGCGCGAGGTGGCCAAATCCGAGTGCGCAAGCAGCCACTACCGCATCGCGCTCGGCGATCTGGGGGACCCCGGTGAGCCCGCACCAAAGGTCACTCCCGCGAAGGGTCACTCTTACGTGTGGTCGATTTTTGACAGGGGCAGCGGGGGGGGGTGCCGGCACAGTGCCTGCTGTGCGCAACGCCCATTCCCCCCCCCGCCCACCATCCCTTGCAGAAAACCAAAACAAAGGGCACTTTGCACCGAAATCTGGATCATGCGCGGACGCCCCACGATCACACTGCAGTGGCTTTTGACAGAGACGGCGGGGAGCCAGCACATTGCCTGCTGCGCGCAGGCCCGCCATCCCTTTCAACCCGAAAAGTACAGAGTTCACTTTACCAAGGACGACGGGGGGGGCGACATACTGCCTGCCGTGCGCAGGCCCATCATCCCTGCCAAAATTTAGTGCAGAGCGCTTTGCACACCCCCACACACACACACACACACACACACACACACACACACAAACAAACAAACAAACAAATACGCAATGCTCGCAAACCCGCCGTCACTTTGCCTTGATTTTTGCCAGGGATGGTGGTGGGGTCGACGAATTGCCCAATGGCGCTCCTGGCATGTGCGCACCTGGCATGCGCGGCGCAAGTCGCTGGTTTTACGCACCTTGTTGCGTCTGCATTGGTTCCCGACGGTTGTCGCCCCTGCCTATGCTGACACTGGGGTGCCACATATGTAGTGGGAGTGCGGGTGGGAGTGCGCGAGATAGCTTGCGGTGTTCTCGCTGGGAACTTGACCCATCCGGTCTGCAAGCGGGGCTGCGAGGGGTTAGACTGTCCAAGATGTCTCCAAGATGGCCTCAGGTAGCCCAGCATGGCCTCCAAGATAGCACAACATTCAGGATGGCTCACGATGGCTGTTCAACATGCTTCCAAGATGCGCCGAGACCACCACCAGACGGCTTCGAGTGGACACGGAACCTCCCGACAAAATCCCCAACAGTCAAAATTCACTCGAACACATAAGACTGTTTGTTCAAAGACTCGTGTTTTTTCGCTTCCGATGGGCTTCTGAGGCCGCAAGATGGCTCCAAGGTCGCCCAAGAGAGCCCTAGAAGGACTCTCAAAGGCTCTAAGACAGCCCCCCGAGCGCCCAAGAGCGCCCCAATGGTGCCCCAAAAGATGATGTGTCTGGCTTCGATGGGGGGGCCCTTTTCGCAAACGAAGTCATTGAAAAACCTTAGATTGTTGATTGGGTTTGACTTTCTGGGGGGGGCCACCCTGGAGGGCTTTTAGGCCAAGATGGTTCCAACATGGCCCGAGATGTCATAGATGGCATCTAAGATAGTACAAGATGGCCCAGGTTGGCGCAAGATGGCATCCAACCTGCCTCCAAGAGGCCCCACCCCAAGAACGCTCCAAGTGGCCTCGGAGCTTCCCAAGGACGCCCCCAAAAGGCACAAAAAAAATGGTAACCATAGACGTGTCAATATGTGTGCCTTCTCGTCTATGCGCCTCCGATTGGCTTTCGAGGCCTTACGACAGAGCCAGACGAGGAGGGCATACGCGCCCCAAGAGCGCGCAAGAGTGCCCCAAGAGCGCTCCAAGGGGACCCCAAGAATCGACGTTCGAGCTCCGACGGGGTGACTTTAATTGAGTCCGAGAAGGCCCGAAAAAACTCCGAATACGACCCCAAGAGAGCCCAAAGAGGGCCCCAAGAGAGCCAGGCTGGATGCAAAGAGGGCGCTAAGCCCAGACGAGCTGCCATGCGGCCCACACATCGGGGACCCTCGAGGGCATCTGCGGTTGACTCCCGGGTCTGCTCGGGCTGATCCCGAGCTCGGCTTGACGGCTGCCCCTCCCCCCTCCTTCCACTGCCTGCTCCTCGCTTCCCCCAGCGAGGCGTGGAGTGGGAGGATGGACTGCGGCCACGCGAGGCTCCCTCGTTCGTGCCGCAGCTCACTGCACCAGCATCCCGTTCGCAGGTCGGCTCGCGTCGGGATCCCGCTTTGCCTGACGGCACTTTGATTTACACAGCGGTTGAGGCCGAGCAGCGTGAGGAGCCCGCTTGACCTCTGGTCCCCCCTCCCCCAATCCCAGAATCCCGTTCGAGGTCGCGAGGGCTGTGGGGGCCCAGCCCTCACTGCCTGGCCTCTCGGAGCCTCCCCAGATTCATCGCCAGGCCGTGGAGGTCTTCAAAACTCCAGCCCTGGACGGTCCAAGATGGCCCAAGGTAGACCAGTATAGCATTCGCGATGGCCCCTGCCTGGCCTCGAGGACCCCAGAGCGGGTCCGACACGGTCCCACGGAGCGGTCCCCAAAGACACGAGTCGTCCAACTCCAAGAAGGTGTGCTATGCCTTCACACTTTATATTGAACGCCAGATTGCCCCACGAAAGGCGCCCGAGGCCTCCGAGAGGGGAGGTGCCAGGGTAGCCTCAAGAAGGCCACAAGACGGCATCAGGAGCACCCATCTGGCCTGCATGAGAGTCCCAAGACGGCTCCAATCCGGCCCAAGTCGACTCCAAGACTACTTCTTGATGCCCCTATAGACGGCTCGAAGAC